TCCGGGCCTTGGGCCTCTTGTCTTAAATATATTGAAATTGAAATTGAAATTGTAAGTGTGCCAAACTGCAACCATCGTTCGCATTAAGTAGACTAGTGCACCTCCACAGTTTTTTTTATGCTGAGCACAAAATATCTCATTCGAGGCAAAATTGACCTACCTCACTCATTTTCAGATAACAGTGGCTGTGCACCTGTTTTTGCTCATATTCTGTACGCACAGCACAGCATTCACCATCATGCAGATGCAGTGACCGGAAAACTGCATGATACACTAGGTTCTATTTGATGACGCAAATATCTTGTTGAGTGCACAAACATCCTCCAAGCTTTGAAAAATCAGTACGACTGCCGTCGGTTCTTGTTATGGTGTTTTGAACCTGCCAATCTGACGGCAACTTGACTCTGGTTTTCTTTCTCAAGACGACAGGTATTACTTCGAATAGATCTTACTCCCGATTAAAATGCTGCTCGTTGATAAATATAGCGATTTCTCCAGTGACCAAATTTATGTGTGACACTAAATTATTTAGCTCATCTCGGGTTAACGATAGTAGGTCAATTAGCTGGCGTGCTGATGGAGATCCAACGTCATAATGAACGCGTGGAACTCTACTGCGACTTCAGTAAATGACATAGTTAAACATGTTAATCGACTGGCTACAATACGGTCGAACCCCAGACCGAAGTAGAACGCTGAGGAGATTTTTATAGAGTGGGACCCTCGCAGTTATAAAGCAAACGCTGATTATAGTTTTTTGACGGCCCATCGTTTGTGTCCGCTACTTGGCGCAGGGGCTCACGGCGCATCGAGTCGGACGTTTAAATGCCGCCAGTAGACAAGTCAGTCTATTACTGGTAATTATAGCGAATTTTGAGAATGCGTTGCGATGGAAACATTAAGTTAGCGCTACCACTCGGGATCGATACCTACTTTATGCAGTGTTACTCTTGTAATCTACAGTCTCTATAATCGAGGGAGTTCTGAAGCCCGTGGGACATGATAAAAGATCTTCGATCGGCGTGGGAGCACACAGGGAGTGGGGCTAATGGGTTCCGTCAGTCTGATGAAGAGGAGACAAACGATGTTAGCGCTGCGCCCATTGTTACCTGCTGTAATTCCAGGAAAGTGTGCAATGCGTGCTGAAGAACTCGGCCCTTCTTTCGTCGAATCACTAATTTCAGTCATCCTTGGCACCGTGTAAAAAGTATAAAACGTTTCCCAGATGAGTAGTAGCACAAATTTAGGTCTCCACTTGGCTGTGGTTTTCGTCATAAATCCGGCCAATTACCTATTTCGCAGACAATTTGTCTGTTATAAGTCAAGATCTTCGAAGCTCTTTATCCCAAACTGACCTGACTTTATGCAAAAACAGTATTATGCCATTTAATATGCTCTTCCTTTTTTTATCTTGATTCTTGGAAGGATAAAGTAGACGCAAAACTTTCAATTATCCAAATATTTGAATTCTATAATGCTCTCGGGACTGCTAAGTAGCTATATGATCGCTTTCATGGGCTGTAGGTCCTTAATCCAAAAAAAATGCCTTTTTCCATTCTGCAATCTGTTTAAATCGGTGAATTACACTTAGGTGACCGAATGTTCTTCAGCAAAGTTGCCATGCGCCCCTAGCTCAGGGATGAGGACATTATGATTAACTGACTAGAACTAAAAACTCGGGCGCGATGCCCGTGGGGATTGGGTTATTACTGGCCGATGATGACCAATGACAAATGACCATTGTACATTCCCTGTTGCCAAATTTATCGAAAGCCGAGTTTTGTTAAAAAAAAATATACCAGATATTTTAAGTCATCTTAACACCGCTACTTGCTTCCTGTCTCATCAGTGCGTCAGTGTCGGATCAAAAGCAGTTTCTGACGTTCATTACTCTCCTGACCTTCGCCAAGCAAATAAATCCCGTTGGAAGTCCAAAGCGTTGTTCGCAGAAAAAAAATTTTCGACCCCTCTCCAAAATTAGATAATTTATAGGAGATTGTGGATCAAATACTTTTTTTGAAGTTTCCCGGTAATCATTGAAACTTACGTAATAGACCAATACTGCTATTCCGATTTAAGTTAACCGTGTTTTATTGTTTTTGGAAAAAATCCACTTCAGTCGTAGGCTGACGTAGTAGTTTCCACGAGTGCCGGCAATTTTCCAGTTGATAATTTGAGGGTCCTTGTTCCTACTTGACTTAAGCAATTTATATAGCACCATGTTCATGATTATGTTATTTATATTCTTCGTGGAACGCTGTGCGATGTCTTTCCTTCGATTTCCTTACTACATGAGTAATTATCCTGTTATCTGGTGACCTTTGACATTGTGTTCGAAGCCCGAATACCAGAAAGCGAACCCATCACACTCGGATAACGGCTACTTCCTTTCAGCAGTGCCATTTAGACTGTCGTTTCCAACGGTGTTCACCATGTTATCCAGAGCATGCTAGGCGGAGGGATGACGACTTGCTCGTAAAGTAGTTTCTAGGGATAATAGTGCCTTTTAAACTGGTGCCTGATAGATGCGCTGGAGCAACACGGGGGCCAGATCAAGCATTATTCAGGTTGATTTCCAATAACAGATGCCGAACATAGGGGTGTGATGGTACGAGTCACTGCGGGTTCCCGCTGTACCAGCCACCTGCGCCCAATCCCCCTCCGATTGATCCTGTCTTTACACCGGGTACAGGTGAGTGAGGAAAGAGAGTGTGGTAGATGCAGCAGAAGACTAATATCACTTAAAACTAATCCACGCGCAAGTCACCGATCCTGCATCACCCTGCTGCGGAGCACACGGTGGGTCTAGTCGAATTCGGCGGTCAAAATATCAGTGATAATAGATTTGCATGAATTCCACCCCCAATCACCTAGTCCCGATCTTAAGACACCCAGGAAGCCCGAAAACGAAATTGGGGCGCTAGTGGCTGGTTCGGCATGAACCTGCACCTGAGCACATCTTTACGTTTCTCTCCATGGGTGGCTTTGTTATGGATACGCATCCCCAAATAACTACCACCCTTCCATGATCTGTTTATAGACCCTCATTATGAAAAGCAAGGGTCAACTGTGGACATGATTACGGGAAATTCCCCGCAGGTTTCTTAATGACTAGCATTGGAATTTTTAGGTGTCAATCCTAGCTTATAGAAGTTGATATTAAATCTATCCAACAGCGAACTTTTCATCTTGACCTTTTACTGACATAACTCCAGCTGTGATGCATCAGTCTGTCTTGTTTCTCGACCCCAGACTGTTAGGAGTTGTTTTCGTCTGCGAAAGGAATAGCTTCCCTTATGCCTGTTCGTTGAGCTCTCTCAACTTGACCGTACAACGATGACTATTTGTCGACGTAACATCGTGCTGGCGGTTGAACAGACACTTTATGTCGCAGTATCTGAACTTCCGTTTTGATCCATACACTGTCTACAAATCTACGGCACTTTCTTCTTTTCTTTTCAGCGGTCCATATTCCGTAACGACCCAGGGATTTTTTTGAATTTTGAACAGTCATGAAGCTTTACTCACTTCAAGTTTTATACAAGCAGGATAATCAAGTCAAACAACTGCAGGGTGTTGAGGACCTTTCCAGTTTTAGTTTCTTCCAACGCGGAAGGTATGAAGCGTAACACAGACTGATTTGCATTCTAAGTTTGTTGGAATTTCTCAATTTCACGGCCAAACTTGTGTGCGAAAGGACAAACGTATGTGAACGCACTATTGTTCAGGAACAAGGTGAGAATGCCGTTTCATTTTTTTATGTTTTCAGACTACTTTTGCCATGTCTACGTCCGGCACGACAATTTGTGCGGTATTCTCTTCTCTGATCTGGAATATCCCCAACGAGTTGCTCAGACGCTTCTAACAAAGGTGTTTCTCCACACTTTTCCATTATATTTCACTTTCACTTGTCATGTCTGCATACGAGGTATAAGGTATCAATGCTTCAAGTACTTTAAAGCCCTGAAAGTTTGAGCTCTCCTACCATCTCAGTTGCTAAATACTTTAACGCTGGAGTTTTAGAAGCCTTAATCTGGTTGAAACAAAATTAATTTATGAAAAGGATGGGCCATGCGGGATAGAGAAACTTGTCCTTTAGAGAGATAGGGCAAGCCTTTCAACGTTTTTCGGGTGACATTACAATCAGACGAGAGGAAAGGACAGGACAAAGTTCCGAAGGCTGTGGGGCCCGCCGTGAAGGTGGCAGCCCCAATAATTTGCCTCTGGCGGACTTTGGAAGTCTCATTGATGATTTCATCTTCGATCTTGATGCTTCTTAATTACTTCATCTAAAGTACCCGAATTTACCCGCTCGTATGAGTTAATTTCGTTAAAGTCATCAGTCGGTGCCACTTTCATATGCTTGATCATTCTCCGCGCGAAGTTAAAGCAGCCGGAAGCCTAAAAATCCTCATTTCGCCATACGTAAACTTCAGTCGTTGTGTTTGGTGAGCAGTCGTTCGCGAATAAGAACTCGTGGACACTGGCCCTGGAAGTGTTTAGATGCTTTCTTGCGTCGACCGTGGAGTACATGTCTGTCGAAGTGTTAGCCGATGCTGATCCCCCCTCCCCCCACGATGAGTGCTCATCAACGTAGTGGCGTACACGAGACTAAAGTGGGTGGAAACAAGTACCTAACCCGATTCATCAAATTTTTCATTGCAAGGTTGATCCATTGTTCGTGGTGCGCGTCAAATCCCGCCATGTTGGTCTCCAATCTGTGCGGATTCCTCAGGACATCCGAATTTTGACACAGTCATTATGTGTCTAGGACATTTGTCAGATCCAAAATGGCCGTGTAGAGTTTGGTTTGCATTTCGCGGCACTTCTGTTGTAGCTGGCGCCCGGTGAAAGTCATGTCCGTGGTGCCATTCTGTTTCTGGAAGGGTTTCCCGATCCAAGAGTATGTTCACGTGATTGAGTGGCACGTGCAGGCATCTTGCAAGCTTTGCTCTACTACAGGGAGGGCAGACGATCGAGGTCGACCTTGGTGTTCATCTTGATGAAGTCAATTGAAAATTTATTTGCAGACTAGACAGGTGGTTGATGACGCCTTTGGAATGCTCTGTCCAGCACTTTTTGATCTTGAACCTTTCACAGTAGAGCTCTTTCATTTTGGCTGTACAAATATGCAGTCCCTTTGGTCTTTGGGCCGCAGATCTTTGACAGTCGCGAGCTAATCCTTCACTTAACTGCGCTCTACGTATCCTCGGATTCTCTCAGTCTTAGGAGTTACCTTATTGTGTTTGTATGTCTCTGGTCTCTTCTGCGGTAGGCGTCAACACCAGAAAATGCGGCTTTGTTGGCATCGGTCCTCTTATTAGCATAGATCTTGTATGGACTGTTGTTCTAGTAGAACAGGCATCGAGTTTCGTCTTTTTCCTTATCAGAGTAGTCCTGGTGCCCTTGGTGTGCACGACCGGTGCCACAAATTTGTATCATTCCTTCGCATTAACCGTTTCTTACAGGACCTACATTTGTTTCAATTTGAGCTTTATGCAATGACTAAAAGGAGGCCAGCGCTCAGCCATATGCAGCAGTGTAGTCTGTAATTTACTCGGTGCTTCTTTGCTTTGCGGATACCTGCGGGGTTAAAGTCTCGCCTTCGTCTTCCAGACTACAAAGCAGTGATTCTTCTAATAGGCTGCAGCTCACATGGTCATGGTAACTAGCACATCGTGTTGTTCCTCTTTTCTGAGGAGGGCGCAGCCGAGCAAATGCTAGCGGCGAGAGTGAGGGGCATCCACATTGTCTTCCCCCTGATCGAAATACAGAAGGATAGGGTGGTGAGGATGTGTTCGTTGCAGACCTACATGACGTTATCCTTCGCATCGTTGGCATTGCCATTGCAGGAGCATGGGCGCTAGGGGTGGTAACGTCATGGTCCTGAGACGATCGTTGGTATCTCGCAGAAGTCAGAACACTAATCTCACAGTATCATTCTTGAGGACATAGACAACTCTGACGTCTAACCACCCGGTCTTTGGACGCTTCCTCCAGACAACATATCTGACAACTCACCCCTTCTGTTTTCTTTGCTCATCGAATCTGATCTCGCTGATAGCCGCGATACTCACCTTGTGGTGAGCCAGTTCCTGGGACATCTATTCTGGCCAGTGGATTGGCAGTTTTTTTTTAAAAAAAAGTGAAAGAGCATTCCAGACTACCAGAATGAGACATTGGTACAGGGTTCTATGCTCTTTTTTGCTGTAATTCGACCGTATTTTCTGCGTTCACAAGCCATAGTCAACCGACAACTTACTTCATCGGTATTTAAGAGCACAGCTATCACTTCCCTCACCCTACCACTAAAAGGTAAGCATTAACTCACAGAGAATCGCTACTTAATCATTTCGGACGGCTGCTAAATGTCACCCGGAGTCACGGTTTGGTTAAAATGGGGAGATCATTCGACGGCCTTCCATTATGACCTTTTGTTTGCCGGGGAGGAGGGAGGACGGGAATTAGTTCAGTGGCTACAGGCTGCGAAGAGGCACACGTCTGACAAGCTCGTCTGTCTTAGGTTGCCAGTCAAGAACGGTTTCCTGGGTTTTGAAGAGCCGCAGGTAAGAAAGGGGTGGAGTAGGGGTGTGCACGAAGTTTATCGACGCATTTATTGAGTGCCGCTGGTTTATTGCTTGCTACGACCCTAGTCGGGCCTGCGTTAATCGGTCTAATTGTTGTTGCGTATGCACGACAGTGTGCCTTCGCCAGTGTTGGTGGGGTGACGGTCATCCAACTACGTTGCCGAACCAAGCTGTAACGTAGGTCGCGCTCCATGGAATCCTCCACACTCCGGACATATCTATACGATCACTCTGATATCACTACTCAAAGGCATGTTTATCCGGAAACTTAACTAGACGATGAAATTCCTGAATTACGAATATATTGAAAATATTTTTTGCACTTGCGCACGACAACCTCGAATTCGGCCATCTGTCAAAATTACCAACACATACCCAGCTCTCTGGTTTATCCTACAGGAAGCAATGAAGGGGTCGTCTTTCTGAATGTTAGACTAGACAGGCGTCTGTTGGAAGGTGTATAAAGGGAAAACGTGGATGCAACAGTTTGCCATATTTATCATCATGTCCTTTTTGAACCAGCAGTGGCTTAGTAAATAGAACCTGATGAAGATTGTTTTATGCTCAGCTTCATTGACCGTTCTTTAGGACCATATATATTTATTCGGAGGCAGACGGAAGACCGACCACCAAAATCCACGTTGTTCACTTCGAAAACACTTTCGGTCCAGGCAGTCTCAGCAAGCTAACTCCTTCAGCTGTCATTTAATGTCCCTTTTACAGAGTGCATGCTTCGTGACTAAAATTTTGCGTGATTTTCGCTGGTAGTCCACTCTTCTCTGCTAAGGAGGCAAGGACAGGCTGCCTTTAGAATTACTCTATATACATCTGCTTGAACAGTCGGGCGTCTCTGTAAAAGGATGCGTAAGCATTGTCCGGAATGACTTACTGACTGAAGCACAACAGAGGACGTTTCTTGTTAAAACCGCTTAATTTCTGAATGTAACTAACTTGTCTGCCTCAACAAATTATTTTTAAATATTTGGCGTGCCACCTATGCTGACGAATTGTGGGCCGTGTTTCATGTATACCCTAATTGTGAGGTGACGCTGCATTTTCTCCAGCTTGGGCTGTGAGTTATGTGACTTTAAAATACGTTTGAAGACCTGCCGATCGGTGATGGACTGTAGTCAATTTTACATGTACTCGAGATATGTCCGTTTTAAGGTATATAGAGCTATTCAAGCGCGTTCTTTTGCATCAAGATATTCTGCTAGATGTTGAGAAAAGGCAGAGCCCGTCCAGCCTGCCGAAAATACCCCCCTCCCTCGTCATCGCTATTATCGCCACCTCCATCGTCAACCGAGCGCCGGCGGCGTGGTCAGTATGACCCCAATTATCACAGGCTAAGATGGCTTATTTGCTTTGTGGGTTAGACAAACTTCTCCAACAAATTTCTTTCACTATATGACCGACTGTGAGGATTTGTAAGCCTAAAATCTCAAACGAAAAGAAACTTTTCTGATGCTGTCTCTGAACACGAGTTCGAGCTGGAATCCGAGACATCAAACGAGTAACATTCTTGTCTCAACGACCGCATCTACTACTTCTCACAACTTTTTTTCTTCACGAAGTCAGGACAAATCGTCGAGGGCCACTCCCGCATGAATTAAAGTATCAGAATTCCCGACCAAGAAAGCGAATTGCGCAATAGTGCTCCCCAGTTTTTAAACTAGGGAAGAGTACCATCGGATAGTAATTAGCTAATAATGACGAGGATCACAGGCTGTCGAGTTCGTCAGCCAAATTATTGGCATAAAGGGAATGGTTATTTGCACGTTGCCTGGGCGCTTGCTTTCTCCCCCCTCAGTCTCTGCAGACTGTGGCGAATTCGCGAGCACTGGTGGAAGCCACAGCAAAGGTCTCCATTCTGAGGTCGCATTACAGAAACTGAGGCCTTTATCTATCCGAGTTTACGGCGCAGATAGGTCTACCGAGCTTCCGTTCGGTAACATCAACTGTTCGATCTTATGGTTCGGTACAACCCCCTTTGGTTGACACCCACTTAAAACTTGCGTTCCAGTTCTGTTACATTCTCTTTTCGAATCCACTGCGCACAATCTTGCTTAATCTGCACGAGGTTTTTGACTTAAATGACATAAGAGGTCTCAGTTTCCTAGTCAGTCTTGCAAAGTCTCATCGATTCACAGACTGTTTCTTTTTGCTGTGTTGTTTAATTTCATCGTTAGATATCACCCCCAGCCCAAGACATCCCTATTCCCCCAGATGGTATGCCTAGTTTATTAACAGCTTTCAAGATAGGATGCAACTTCATCACACTGGCCGCGAAAGTGCATATTTTAGTAGCACTTATTAGTGGGCACGAAACTCATGATTCGCTGACCGATGTTTTCGACACATTTTCAGATAGAAAACATCCATTA